TTATATATATATATATATATATATATATATATATATAAAAGCCAAATATGAAAACACTGACGTGGCATTTCCCAATAATCTCTATTAGTATATTTATCTATTTTGTCCATTTTTTGATCTTTTATCTTAATCTACTTCTAAACATTTGATAATATAAGTGTTTTTAAACAGGTATAGTTCTACGATAAATTATCAAGAGTATTTTATTCAAAAATAAAATGAAATACTTTTTTAATCTTAAAACCAAAAAAAAATGATTCTAAGTTTTTATGCACTTTTTTAAAATTAATTCTTCATTTTAATTAAATGATAAAAGTATATTATATTAAGTTGGATAATAAAAATAGGACGTGGCACCTCACTTTAATCAGTATTATCATTTATCTTTTTTTTTTTATCAATTTTTTGATTTTTGTTTATCACTAAAGAATACTAAAATAAGGGGGAAAATATAATCAAAATAAGTTAATTATCTCTCCTTATCATTACTACTACCATTTATTACTCTTCATCTCTCATCGATGTATTATTATAATTTATTTTTTTCCTTAAACTCTCTCGTCTTACCTTTTAGGTTACTATACATTTTTTTTCCAACAGTTTTTTAATCTCAATTTATCTCATATAATTTATTGTCATAAGAATTTTCTGAAAATTAAAAATATATTTTTAATTAATTTTATCATCTCTCATCACTATCATTTTAGTATATTATTTTCCTTAAATTCTCTCATTTTACCTTTTATCCTATATTTAAAAAAAAACATTTTTTCTACTATTCTACACGTAGTTTCATTATTTTTTTTATCTCAATTATTCTCATTTATTGTTGTCATAAATATTTTTCAAAAACTACTTTTTAAAAAAATTTCATCAAATATTATTAATTGATCTTTCCTAAAACCTTCATCTTCTTTCTCTCATATTTCTTTCATTCATAAAAAATTATAAAACAAATAAAGTTAGTGATAACAGAATAAGACAATCGAAAAAGAAAAATTTGACAAGAAAATGACAATATAAATATCATATTATTATGGAAAGCATAACGATTATTTTCTTATTTAGACATATTTAAATTGAGCAATAAATGAAAACACTTATTATTAATTTTAAAATTATAGAGTAATTTATTTTTTATGCAATTAATTTTAAAACATAGAAGAATCTATATTAGACTAAGGAATGATCTAACAATTATAAGGAAAAAGTCGAAATCAAGTTCTGTAAAAAGATTGTAATTGTTATATAGTTATAATAAGTAATTTTTAGAATTAAAAATAAAAATAAATGAAAAAGTAAAAGAAAGGGAAAATAAGTAATTTAAGAAAATAATATAAACAACATTAATAATGATATTTAAGGGAAGTAAGTACAAGAATTCAATTGCATTGATGGTGATAAGAACAAAATATGTTCATCATTCATATTTTATAAAATTTTATGTTTTTTTAAATTAGAAAAAAGGCTAAAAATAAAATAAAATTCGAGGAACAAATTTTTTAAAAAGAATAATTTCAATTTTGAGCAATTAATTTAGTACAAATGTTTGAATTTTTTTTTGAAAAATTAGTAAAATTATATAAAATTGAGATTTTTGTTTATAAAAATATAGTTATCAATGTTGGACTAAGAAATGATCTAAAATTTTTAAGAAAAATGTTAAAATCATATTCCGTAAAAGAATACTGTGATTTTTAAGTATTTATAATAGTTAGGTTTTACGAACAAACAAATAAATTTTCACGCATTAGAAATTAAAAAATATACACAAAAACATTAATAGAAGATAAATATAAAAAACTTTAATTAAAGACAAAAAAAATAAAACAAGATAAAAGAAGAAAAATGTTAGTAGACCAAAGAAGAAAATCTAATGTCCTTAGTAAATTTTAAGGTAAGCTAAATAATTAAAAAAATAAAGTTTATACATATATATATATATATATATATATATAAGATTCATGAGATATCATTTCTTTCTTTTCTTCTAGAAAAAATCACAAGGTCTAGAATTTCGCTCGACATCTCAATGACTAAATTTGATATATCCGTATATTCATCATCATCGAAGTTTTATCATCAACAATATCTTTAGATCATGAGATACTCTCTTCACCTTTTCAAGAAATTTGATATCCGTATATTTATCACCACCAATATCTTTAGAAGTTTTATGATCACCAATATCTTTAGATCATGAGATATTTTCTCTTCCCCTTTTCAAAAAAATTTATATCTTTATATTCATCGCCATGAATATCTTTAGAAGTTTATCATCACCAATATAATTAGATCTTGAAATACTCTCTCTTTCCCTTTTCTTGAAAATATCAGAAGGCCTAAAAATTTGTTGGACATCCCAATATCAAAATTTGCTACCCATATATTCATCATTAGAAGAAGAGCGAAAGTGAAGATTTCCACTATGGTTGATTACAATGTTCAACTTTTTAAAGTTTTAAAGGAGCATGATATAATGCATTAAATATTTTTTTATTTTTCAGTTTTTCTAAATTACAAATAAAAATAAAATTTCAAAAAATAATTTCAAAACATAAATAGAAATGCTGGCCACAGAGACACGTCACTTCAGATTCTAAGTTTTTATGCGTTTTTTTAAAATTAATTCTTCATTTTAATTCAATGATAAAAGTATATTATATATAGAGTTGGGAGAAAAGACATAAAAGTCTCCATTGAAGTTGTCCCGAATTTTTAAAAAGATACATTAACTTTACAATCGTCCTATTATTACCTCACTAAACAATTTTGAATAGATATAATTACATCTTTTTTTCGTCTATCTAACAAGAGAGTGGTGTGCACTCTCTCAAAGAGAGTGAGCACCCAAAAATAACTAATATAATTTTATTTTTATAAGTATTTTGTTATAAAATATATTTTCTTTGTTATAAATTCATTGAATGAGTGGATAGTCCATAAGGTTGGTACATGAAGAACCATCCATATTCACTAGATTCATGAACCGTTTTGGATAAGAATGTATCTATTTATTATGATACTTAATATGGTGACTTTTGGAGTGATTTCTCACTCTATAAATAGGATTGTTCATTCACTATTGTATGATATACAAATGAGACTTACATATACTTGAATAAGATGAAAATGACTCTTCTTTTATCTACTTCTCTTGTCTACTCCTCTTTATGCTTATATTCTTATAGCTTGATTTTATAATACGTTATCAGCACGAGTCTCTAACCAATTGAGAGTGAATTTTAGTTTTTCTTTAACTCATGTTTTGGTTGATCTCGTTATGAAAATCAATGTATTATTTGCATAAAATCAGGTATGTATTTTTAAAATATTTTTATGATTTAGAATAAAATAGTATTCTGTTACTAACAATTATCAGGAACCGAAGACATATACTACTACTGGTTGAATATGACAGGCTATACAAAATTCCTTAAAGAAAAGAAGGTATAAAATTTTAATAGCACGAGTTTGAATATTATTTTGATTGTTTTGAAAGACTCAAAGAATAAATCATGTTGTACTTCGATCTATTATACCGTTGGTTAAGAGGAAGACGATAGATTCAAGTTTCATCGCACCAAAAGGGTAAGACATTAGGTTAAAGTCCGGATGCACCATAATGAAAAATATTTGAGGATAAGACGATAGATTCAACTCCTATCGCACCAAAAGGGTAAGATATCAATTAGAGTTTTGATGCAGCGTGATTGGGTTCAAGTCCCATAGAATTATGAAGTAACACATCTTATATGGGTAAGCCATTGAGTTTGAGCCAATGCACCATAGCAATGATAAAATGATGACTAAGAAAAATAATATATTTTTGATGAAATGTCTTGAAATTCATCACATTGAATTTGCTCCATTCCTTGAAAAGAATGTGATAGCAACATGTGATAACTCTGAAATCTGCTTGTTGACTTGCTCCATTCAATCATATGAATGTGGTAGCAGTGAATGATTAGTCTGAAAGATGACAAATAATTAATGATATGAATAAGGGCGTGGAGGGACAAAATTATAATAGTCATCATTGTGGTAATGATAAAAGGAAGAACACTATGAGTTCTTCAAATAGTCCTTTAAAATGTAAAGACAATCTTTATTATCAAAATGGTATGAAAGGTCGCTAAACTTGTGAATGTTGTCAACCCAATAATTTGACAAGTTTATAAATCCTCTATCATGACACAAGAAGATAAAGTGATGGTACACTTGATCTTTCAAAGTGATGTTGAGGTGTGTCATAGAAATATGATGAATTTAAAGCCATGATAATGTGCTTATAATGCAAATTTATGAAGTACATATAAATAATTAGTCCATTCGTTGAAGAGAATGTGACTTGTGATGAGTATATCGTGAATGCTCGACCATTCTATAAGAGAATGGGCCAGATGTGATAAAATCATTATAGGTTGGATATATGCCACAATTCACCTCTCTGGAAGGTTTGATAAAAAATGATACATCCCACTTCTCATCTCTACGGGAGATTTGAGAGGAAATAAATTTTATTTGACAGAAATGGTTAATTGTGTTGTACGTTTTATATGTCTCTATGGTATGTTTATTGTGAACTACCGAAAGGGAAAAAGAAAGAAATATTTCTTGCCTATAAGGGTTGTGGTCATTATTGTGTGGCAATTTGTCATTGGTTGTGTACCTATGGTACAACAAAAGTAAATCAAGAAAGATGTCTTGCTCGTAATGATTTTGACCATGACAATAATAATATAATTTCCTCCTTGAAGGAGATGCTCACCATAGGGATGGTGTCATGCGATATGTGATAGTACACAAAATTAATTGCAAGCTCTAACGAGTTGTGCTATTATCAGAGAAATAATATTGGGGTTGTAGTAAGTCTCAAAAGAAACTTTTT